AATCGCTAACATTTGGGACCTAGAAATTGACAAAAGTGGGTCGCAACGCATATAATACTGTAATATGAATTTACATTCAATGATTTACATTCAATGGTTTCCATTTTTACTCCAATTTCAAATCAGTTATGTTCGTCGAAATAAGCCAGCAGTCTCAAGCGAGTGCAAATTTCTAGCGTCTGGTTATTCCAGTCTACATACGCCGTTTGATTTGGTGCAATGTGTCTAGCCTCGTCCCTCGAGTCTCTTGATACAACTGGGGCTGAAGTGCATTACAGGTATGGTACACGATTCGTGTACCAATGGTAAAATGTTTATTTTGTCTTAAATATTGGATATCAAAAGCCCATCTTTTTCCGGTAAGATCACAACATGAATGTTGATTTAATTTGACAAATAAATCGTGTTTTCAATGTTGAAGATTTTGGATCATATTGAGTTAGAGACTTAGCTACTTTAAATGTGAAATTGAGAAGAGACAAATATGAATACGAAACACAAATTAAAAATCTGATTGATTTCGGAAGAAAACTTGACTAATTTCATTAGAATGGGAAAGGTACATGTGTCTTACTTTTTCTTTTGTACGTTAAATAAATCATTGTTACTCATGTTACTGTTAGTTTATTTGATTGCCATTAGTGATTACAGCTGTCTACATTTTTCTAGGTAGCCTGTATCCTACATGTATATTAACCAGCAGCTCTCTTCAACATACATGTACATGTACTTGATTAATAACTAATTACTACCAGTATGATTAGGATGAAGATAATTAAACTACTCAAATCTAGAAGTGGTAGAGTAATAATAACATGCTGGTGCCTGGTCGTTGACTAAAAGTAAAATGGTAGGTCTACATTACATACATGTACAATCCAGCTCTAAGGTCTTCAGTGATAATGAGTAAAAAAAACACCATTGAGAAGGTTTATACTAATAATAAACAATTGGGTTGTATAGTTCTCTAGTTGAGAGTGATATAAATACATTGAACTAAAAGGAAGTAACACTTTGTCTGTGATATCACCCTAGGTGGAAGTGGGGGGTAAGCCTGACTGACAGACTGAAAGGAAACCACAGAATCAAATCAGTTTTCAGCTGTTACAAGTCTCCTGCATGAAAGGACCAAACAAACCAAACTGGTACCTCAGTCAAACTAGTGCTAAGAGTGAAAAACTAACTGGTGTATTATCATTTATACTTGTCAGCATTTACATGTTGATAAAGGATGTTGGACACACCTTTTAAAGTTGACCTTTGATCTGTAGTTGGACATGGTTAATTTATTAACCATTGTATTATATTACTAATATTCTAAAGCCATGGTGGTGGTGATTACATGAAGCATTGGACCAATATTTCATCCTGGTATATTCCTAAATACCATGACCAATTGAGAATAAATACATGTATGCTAAGCAAGTTTGCTAAGATATCTAGAATATCTCCATGTCTAATGAAGCATAAAGACCAGTATGTATAGCACCAATCAGTTGTTGTAAATAACCACAACCCACAAATGAAATGACCTGGATCTCTTATCTACAACCACCAAGAAAGAGAGTTTATAGTCTTAAGTTTCAACAATGAATGTGTATTGTTTAGAGTAGAAACAGTCTTTCACTTTGTTTATTAGTACACACTAAAACTGATATCCGACTGTTCCTTCTGGGACACATTTTAAAGCAAACAGACCTCACATGGAAGAGGTAATAAAAGTTGATTATAAAATACTGCCTCTGGGATTTAGATCAGCATGGCAGTTGATAAGCAATAAGCAGATGTATTTATTTAACACCTCATCTACTCAATCTGTCAATGCAGCTTCCCCAGGATTTATAACTTGTGTGTCCAATATTAATTGATGCTAGTCCATCAAAGGTGTAGATATAGTTTACAGGCATTAAATACACTTTATGAATAATGATAATGTGTGCATCAAAACTATTTGTTCTTTTGAACAAGTCAACGGGTTCAGTTGTTTATAATATTTTCAGTGTTTTGATCACCTTTCTTTGAAAAAAAAAAATATATATGATTTTAGCCCTCCACCCGAATTCCCATCCAGATAAACAACTAAAAAACCTACTATGTGGCACACAAATTGAACCATGTCATGTTTTTACACAAACTGATCTGATAAAAACTAATCAATATTTTTATGCAATGTAACGTTTTTATAGGCGAAAAGTTGTCATCCGATCTTTGTGAAATTTATATGAATTATTTAGATTAATGAAATGAAGAAGCCTACTGAAATTCAGCAATTTCCGTTTATTATGTCCAGAGTCATGGGCCTTGTTTCACTTTATTGAACCTTTTGAAGTGAACGCCAAAAGTTATCATCCGATCTTTGTGAAGTTTATATGCATTTTAAATCAAATTAGTGAAATGAAGAATCCTATTGCGTTTCAGCAATTTCCGTTAATTTTTTTCTGGAGTTATGGCCCTTGTTTCACTTTGTTGCACCTTGTGAACGTTCTAACGACAAAAGTTATATTTGTTGAACCTTGTGAACTTTCTAACACCAAAAGTTATCATCTGATCTTTGTGAAATTTATATGCATTATATAAAGGGACAATAACACTCTTGCTGGCTTGACAGCTCAAGAAAATAAAAAATAGCCTTATTCTAAGTACTAGATGTGTTAGTGTCCTACCTGTTGTATAAATTATCCATTAAATCCTATTTTACTTGTCCAAAGGGTTCAAAAATATTTTTAAATCATAGTCACATTTGAAAAGCTTTACATCAGGCTTTTCAAATCATATAGTTGAATTTTTCCAATTTTGTAAATTAGGTGTGTTAAGATGAAATTTGTATCATCAATTAATTGGAATATTGTGAAATAGTACAATTTGTTGACCAGAATAAAGATTGGGACATATTATTCAGTTACAACAAGAGTGGTATTGACTCACCTGAGCCTTTAAATTATTGAAATGAAGAATCCTATTGAATTTCAGCAATTTCCCTTTATTATGTCTAGAGTTATGGACCTTAATTCACATTACAATATGTTGTAATAATTGAGTTATATAGAGATTCGTTATTGCATAATTATGTTTATATTTTAGAACAGTGAGATAGAACATTGACTAGAATTCCCCATAAAAATTACCATAATTTTGCTGGCTTCCATTCAGTCAATTAGTGTCAGCTTAAAGCCATCATGTTATCCCTGTTTGGTTAAAACTGTTTGACAGAAAAAATCACAGGCGAAACAAAACAGCTATATAAATAAAAGAGAATATGGAAGATGTGATATACTGGTAACAATAAAGCCCTCACAATACCTGACACATTGTACATGTTTTATCTGCTGATGTGGACATATCATGAATAATCTGTACACGTTAAAGCCATTGTAGGCAGAAAAAAAAACCATGTTTCAGGGAATATTGTTTTTTGTCTGACATATTGTTACAATATGCTTTTGATACATGCCAAATCAATAGCTAAAAACAAAGTGAATTTTTGCACACTTGTAATAATATAACCAAGTGGGAAATATACATATGTGTTTATAGGTGGTTTTTTTTCTACTTGCATTAATCATTGTATATAAAACATATATACTACTTAATCTTCCTGCACTACAGATGTGAAAATATGCAAGCTACATCACTTTCATGTCATGTTTAACAAAAAAACCATTTAATATTAAAAAAAAAACCCCAACCCAAACCAGAATTCAGCAATGCATGACAATACCATCTTTCTTGTGAAACATTAGTACTAGTAACGTTTCCATGAAGCACAAAAGTTACCGTCAAACTACATGAAGCTAGGGAAATACTGTCCAAAAATTAACCCAGGTAAAAGGATCTGCAATGGTGGTTCTGGTTCTAATATAAGCAGATTATTGTTGCGATCTATGAAAACTTCAAAAGTTAGATAACCTCTATAAACTAGAAAATGAACTTCTGAAAAAATATGCCCTATTTTATAACTGTTTTAGGTCAGCATCTTTTGAAATAACTTTTTCATGCATAGTAGCCTGTCATTGATAAAACCCCCCAAACAAAACAGGTTTTAAATCTTGCTACAGTCAAGTGTAACTCCTACAGGTATAAAATGTTGTTGCTTAACAATTTGATAATCGAGATACATATTCCATGAGTGGATTGTAAAATGTATTACTGTGTTTCTGATTTTTATACCAACACAGTTGTGTAATAACAGGTATGTTTTAAAGTATTTATGTATTCTTAAAAGATTTCCATGTTTATGGTTCATGCATTTCTAATATTGTAATTTTCAGTTATACTATATTACATTAGGATTTGCTGTGGAGAAATCTTAAATGATTTATCGATTATATAATATGCGAGGTTTGTTTTCAAATTCTCTTGGATGTACTGGTTCGTATTTAGATATATGGCAAGAGTAAAAAATATGTAGTATTTTTATGTAAATGTTGTTGATATTATGTAATTAAGTACATGTACATCCAAATATAGAAAAATGAGCTGGCTTTTACTAAAACAATAAAATTACTATTACTTATATATGTATCTAATACATATGGAGATGGCATTGTAAAATCAGTAGAAACCCAATGTAAGCTTTAAATGACCGCAACATAAGTTAGAATTGATTGATTTGAGTACCGGTAATTTTTGTACCAAAATGTGTTTTTCATAAAAGTACTTTTGATTGTGTATGGTATTAAAATCTATATAATTATCTGTTATTCTGCTATATTGGGTCTTTCAGAGAAATATTATCTGACAGTTGCTTATTTAGTTCCTATATTAAGTTTGAGTAATCTTTCTAAAACTTTTCCATTGGTCTGCCATTGGGACAGCAGATATTTTTGGTGAAGTTAATTTCTGTCCGTTATGTAGAAAACACATCAAACCTATAATCAAGTGGATTCTTAGTCCTCTATCAGAAGGTCAAAAGCAGGTTATGTTTTGTTAAAATCAGAAAGCATAAAATTAAGAAAACAACAAAGCCTTTTATCTTAATACATCTCTAATTTGTTTTTCAGATCTATTAAGATGGCCACTGGAGTACCTACCTATAAAGTTATACTGTGTGGTGAATATGGTGTAGGTAAAAGTTCTATATTTCGAAGATTTATGAACAACTCATTTACCCTAGAGAATGATAAAAAGTCGACAGTAGGATTAGATCAAGCATCTAGAATAGTCAATGTTAATGGAACAGATGTTAAGGTACATGTATATATTTTTAAAGATAATATATTTTTGAAATTTGATTTACTTTCAAAGATAATTTCATGAGCCAAAGCTACCCAGATGCAGAACTCACAGCAGCTGACAGTGCCACGCAGTTATACCTGTTAAGGTTGGATGACAGAATGGTTAGCATGTGCGCATTGTATCATAAGGTCTGTCATTAAGTCAACTGGCATGGTTTCTAATCCCCGGTTGTACGTGACAAGGAGTAGGAGGGTCGCCTGTTCAACCCCTCTCTTCTCTCTCTCTCTCTCTCTCTCTCTTAATTATTTATACCTGTCCAAAAAAATGTCAAAGAATATCTCTGTGTATACCTGTACCAGGGACATGTAATGTTACTCTCACCCATCGGTCATGCCATTATTCTAACCTTTGGTTTTCCATTGGTCCATGCGCTTTAAGGTGTTTGAAATACATTTACAGAGTTTTACATGTACATGAAATTGGGATGTCATCACTAAGCATAGTTGACTTACAGTGGCAGGCCATTCATAAGCCCCTGTGATCACCAATGCTACACACATGAGGATATTCAACACTGGGTCTGGTGCAAAATGACACACAAAGCTCTCTGCATGCCCCCCATACTGTGTTAACTAATTAAGTTCCAGTGTTAAGAATCAGCTCACCAAGTCTTTAAATATAAGACCCAGAGGGTATGAGGGCATATGTGGAGTATTTTAAACCATCCAGCTTCACTAGCTCTTGAAGTTGAATGTCCATGTTGATGTTTCATAAATAAAAGTACATTTTTCTAGATAATGTGGATGCATATATAATTGCATCAAGATAAAAGATCACAAACATATATAGTAAGCTATAATTATCTAATAGTGATAACTCTTTTTCTAGCGATAATTAGATTTATGTATACATTATGCACAGTTCACTTTTCCATGTTGTAAAGTCATTTGTAAAATGATAATACCATCAACATGAAAGCAAGTCTGACATCAGTCTTTAAATCTGGTAATAGATCTCAAATGTTAATAGAAACATGTGGATGAGCTAGAAAAAAAAGATGCAAATTACAAAATGTCTGCAATGTGTTTTGCTATTTTGAAAATTATTTAAAATGTTATGAAAAACTGACAGAATGAAATAGTTTTTGATAAGCAAGCTTGTTTTGCTTGCTGGTTTATGTTATAGTTTTTGATAAGCAGTCCTGTTTTACTTGCTGGTTTATGTTATAAGAAAATTTAACTACTTATTTCAAAAATAATTTTAAAAATCATAGTATTAATACAAAAAAATAATCTGACAATATGGTAAAACCTGATTAGTAAAAACTTTGACAGTCACAGAAATATATCTTTAAGAATCACTAAAAATAAAATTTGTGCCATGCCTTTGAATTGATTCTGATACATATCTCGTTGAAAATATGATTCCTTTCCTTCAAATAACCCATCTATATTGCTTATTTATTTGTAATTAATGTCAGATTTTGGTGCTCTTAACTGTAGTAGAGTTATAAATCAAGTATATACTATTAGATACCCATGCTGTGACTTAAGTACACTTCATTAAACATGAACATTCTTATTTTCAATACCTCTCAAAATACCAGTATATTTATTCCATAACATATGTTAAATTTCATGTGTTAGGTATGGTAGACATATCAATATTTACATATTTTTCATTTTAAGGTATCTTCTTATTTATTTATGTAGCAAGACTGGTGATGAAAGTTCATGCAAAATATAAATTGGGTAATTTTGGGTTAAAGTGATAGTCACATAGTTTTTCATGTAAATGTTGATATGTGAATCAAAGAAAATATTGTTTTTAAGATTTACTTGAGCCATTACTATAAGCAATGTCTTATACAAAATATGTAAGATCCAAAATTTACTATTAAACCTAAAGGGACATGCAACCTCTACTGTTCATTTAGTTGAATTTTCATAGGTTTGTTTGTTTTGAGAGCTGAGTCTTTCTGAATGAAATATTTAGGTACCTAGAATGATCAATCAGTTTTGAGATTTAACCAATGTTTTGTTGACAGTCAACAGTCAATCACTAATTCAAACTATTTCAGCGCAAGGCAAGACTTTATTTTGACCCATTTCAGTTAGGATCTGCTCCTTTCAGTTTTAATTATGTGAGTCTGTTGCTTTAAACCAGGGAGGAAATGATAAAATGTTGATAAGACAAACTTATACATGGAGTGAAAGTTCCTTGTTATCTATGTTATAGCACCAGGGAACCCAGAATAGAACATTTCTTTCCTCTTTACTTAAACCTAGATGCCCTCATCAGATGCTTATACATTCCAGTTTATCTTTTTAAAGGTGAACACTTATATCAAAATGCCAAAAGACTTTGACAAGGAAAATATTTATTTATTCCTAGTTTATGAATAATAAATACATTGTGTTTAAGACATCAAAAAAGCGGAAATCCTTTATTTCCACTACGGGAGAGCTCAAATAAAACAAAACTTAATGTAAGGATATAGGCTATGTAACAGATAAATTTGTTGGAAACAAACTGTACTTACATATTTAGTTGAATAAAGATTTCAAACAAGAAGACAATAAGTCACCTGATGATCGGTTACTTGTGCAATATTTTGATTACCAGTATAGTAGTCAGATGTATATGAAAGACTGTGGTATAATCAGAAAATGAAATGAAGTGGGTTTAACGTCCTACTTTTGTGCTGGAAATTTGTCTGGACAGCGGTGTTATGACCTATTTTTTTATATGCACACATTTTCATGTGGACGTATTATGCTGTCGCCCCTGTTTGTCCATCTGTCCATCCACTATCTCCCAAAGATCTTGGTTCCTTTCGATATTGGCATGTATCGGACCATAACTTCATGGGTTATGGCCCCTGTTTGTACGAAAAATCTTGTTTTTAGCTTGTGGACACTCTAGAGGTCACAATTTTCATTTTTTTTTTTGATGAAACTTGAAATGCATGTTTATAACCCAAAGAGGTTGGTTCCTTTCGATATTTGCGCATATCGAAGCATAACTTCCTGAATTATGGCCCCTGATTGTACGAAAAATCGCTTTTTTTAGCTTGTGGTTCATCTAGAGGTCACAATCATTATCTGATTTAAAAAAACGTTTGAATATATCACTGTTACACCATAATGATGGTTGAGTTCGAATTTCATGAAAATCGGACCAAAACTGCCGGACAATATGCCCGCCCATTGTACGCAAATAGTGTAAAAATATGGTATATCAAGGTTCTGGAAACTCTAGAGGTCACAATTTTCATCCGATTTTGATGAAACTTGGAATGCATGTTTATATCCCAAAGATTTTGGTTTCTTCGATATTCGCGCATATTGGATCGTAACTTCCTGAATTATGGCCCCTGATTGTACGAAAAATCACGCTTTTAGCTTGTGGTCCCTGTAGAGGTCACAATTTTTATCCGATTTAAGAAAACATTTTAGTATATCACCGTTACGAATTAATGATGGTTGAGTTCGAATTTCTTGAAAATCTGACCAAAACTGTCGGACAAAATGGCTGCCTCTTGTATGCAAATAGTGTAAACATCTGGTATATCAAGGTTGTTTATCGGATCCTTTCGATATTCGCGCATATCAAATCGTAACTTCCTGAATTATGGCTCTTGATTGTACGGAAAATCACATTTTTGTGCTTGAATATATCACAGTTATACACAAATGAGGGTTTGATTTGGAATTTCGTGAAAATCGGACAAAAACTGACAGACATAATGGCCGCCCCTTGTACGCAAATAGTGTAAAAATATGGTATATCAAGGTTGTTGAACCCTCTAGAGGCCACAGTTTTTCTCCGATTTGGATGAAACTTTAAATATATGTTTCTATTATAAAGATCATGGTTCCTTTTGATAATCACACATATCCAAACGTAACTTCCTGGATTATGGCCCCAGATTGGGCGAAAAATCACACTTTTAGCTTGTCGATTCTCTAGCTGGAGGTCACAATTTTTTTTTTGATTTTAAAATCCGTTTAGATATATCACCATTCCACCATAATGAAGGTTGAATTCGAATTTCAGGAAATCGGAAAACCAAAATGAAACTGCCCAACAAAATGGCCGCTCTTTGTACGCAAATTGTGTATAAGTATGTAATACAAAGGTTATGGACCCTCTAGAGGTCACAATTTTTATCCGATTTTGATGAAACTTAAAACATATCTTTATATTCCAAACATCTCAGTCCCTTTTGATATTTGCGCATTTTAGACCATAACTTTCTGGATTATGGCCCCTGAATGTACAAAAAATCGTTTTTGTTTTTAGCTTGTTCTCTATCCATCTCTAGCAAAATGCGGGCGTATCCTGCCTGGCAGCCGCTGGTTTTTAATTCCAAATGTCAAAGGATCTTTTATGTGCACACCAACTTGTATACATGATATCTTTTTTTTGTCCGATCCGAACAACTTAAATTCTGTTCCTTGCCAGACCTTTCGTCCTGCACAACTGACAAAGGAAAACCGCATTGAAAAATCCTGAGGAACTTTTGTAGCCAACACTGGGAGTGAACCCAAGACCCCTTTGGCTAGCAAGCTGCTCTTAATCAGAATACAATATCTGAAAGAGTTTATATTACTGAAAACCCCATTCAGGGCCGTTCATACTTTACAAGCAATGTAAGCCTTTCTTTTTCTTGAATTTTAGCTGGACACTTGAGACTTAAACCACAGATGTATTTGTTAATATTTTGTATTTTTCTGTTAAAATTGCATACCTTCTCTGAGAATATGTGTCTAATTGTGCTGTAATGCACCTGTAATTTTCTTGGCACCATCACATGCATTCAGTGTGAACACAAATTAACTTTTACCAGCTTCTTAAAATATTAAATGAAAGCTAGTTAATAAATTTTCTTAAATTGTAATCATTTTATTTCTGCTTTTTCAGCTATTATTATGGGATACTGGTGGCATGGAGAGAATGAGTTTTATAGGATCTAGTTATTATCGTGGTGCTCAAGCCGCTTTATTATGTTATAGTGTCAACAATAAAGAAACATTCAACATTTTATCACAGTACATTCTAGATATTGTCATGAATGCTGAAGGGGCCAAAATATTTTTATGTGGGAACATGGCTGATTGTGGTGATGACAAAGAATGTGTGACGGAAGCAGATGTGGATAAATTCACAGAAGAATGTGAAAATGTTTTATCGGGTGTGTACAGTGTGTCGTGCAAAGAAAATCGGGGAATAAATGAAATGTTTAAAGATATTACCCATAAGCTTCATGAAATGAATGTTAATAAATTGACATTACGCCGTGACATGATTATTCGACCAGGAGAAACGCCAGAAGCACATAGTGGTTCCAAAAAACGTTGTTGTTGAACTTTTTAAAAAAAAAATTTTGAAGACAACATTAATATGACGGTCCCTGAATATTAAATGTGATATTTATATACTGATAAGCTTGTACCAAAATAAATGAATTATTTCATATATAATTTATGTTGTTATTGTCATAATGGACCAATATTATATGAATATTTGAATGAATTATATATTACAATATACCTGTCATAATATACTCTATATTTTTAAGAATGTACATTTATTTTTTTAAAAGGATTATTAGAATTTGAGGCAATCATAAGAGGTCAAATTCATTTGGCTACATTTCCAACCTTTCAGTTGGTAATCTGTGAAAATTTGCCATGTTAAATTTAATTAGTTGTCAGGGTATCAACATCTAAACATCACATGATCATAATTCTTCAACCAATAAACACTGTATAATATCTATGAAAGCCAAAATATTCTCCCAAAAAGACTTCTCCCTTAATTAAAGTATTCGTTTTAATCACCTTCTTAATATAAATATTAACACACAAGAGATACAAACCTCTGTAAATTAACATCAAATTATTTAAAATATCAGTCATTATGGTTATGTTTTTTGATTATTCATGAATTTACAATTTACAGTCTTTTAGGACAAGTACTCTTTCTCCTCAAGATCTCTTAAGTATGTTTTTTGTTCAGATGCAATAAAAATAACTAAATAGAGCTACATGAGTAAGTTCATTCATTAAAGGCATGTGCATTGATATATAGATCTATATAGGCTGTAGTGCATGCCAGATGACATTTTTATATATTATGTTCTAATATTATATTTTAATACAATAGCTATAGATACATGTATAGTAATCACCAATATTTTCAACCTTAGAAAAAAATGCAAAATTCTATATATTTTATGTGAAGGAGTGCCTATATATGTTAATTTATCTACGCAATTGTAACACTACATGAACTTGACCTATATTAGACCTACCCATGTAAATTTGATAATTGCATATATTCAGATTAGCTATAGAAAATACACACTCCTATACATGAATGGAGAAATACTTTTCCTTTTCACTGTGTATGTATTTTATTATTAAAGCTGTCTACCATCAGAGGTTTCCCCGGAGTTGTGAACACTCTACCCAGGATATAATGTTCATTTGATCAAAATAAATAACACCTCTATCGAAAATCAAAATTTGCCATCCACAAACTGTTTACCTTCAAACTAATGCAAACTTGTGAATGGCATACACATATTGAATGTATTTTGCAGATTATTTTTCTGGTCACTTTTAAGACTTTGCTGGATTGTTCAGTGGAACATAAGAAAGGCATTTTTAAAACTCTGTGGGAATGTTCCCACAAAAATCACAACCATATTGTCCCATTACCGTTTCGACTTTTAAGGTTTGTGAACATAATGCAGGATAAAATTCTCTATTGGATTTTTTATTTCCTTTATTTTGGTGGGCTTGTTGACTGGGGCAAAACAGATAAACAGCATTAAAATTCTAAATTCTAAAGATAGCTGATGAAATAAATATGAAGTCAAACAAATTGCCACCTTCCATGAATAATCTTAACAGTGGTGTATGGATTTAGATGTATGGATGATGATTGAAGGAAGCAGGCTGAATTTCTCGCAGTAGGTGGTATTATAAGCAGGCTACATGTATACTGATTATATGTAATTGAGTAAAGACAAATTGTTTATTATTTGTTGTCAAAGGTTATAATTTGCTTGCTGCCTTCTGTCTGTTTGGTGCCAAAATATGCAATATTGTTATAGTGATCTTCTTATGATGTTTATTATATTGTTAGCATATAGAAGATGTATATATTTAGTAGTATATGAATTAGTTGTTTTAATTTTGTAAATATTTAGTACTTTTACAATTGATATTTTTTCTAAAATTTAATCAAATTGATTGAATTGATTGAAAACAGAGTACAGTGTATTATCTTTTGTCATCTTTAAGTGACCTATAATTTCATTTAAAGGAACATAATATCATAAAAACTTAATTAAAAGGGACATAATATTATAAAAACTAAACTAAACTTTTATAGATTTTTCTATGTTAATACCATTACAACAGTGTAATCATTGTGAAAAAAAGAAAACTACTGTTACGAAGGTCAAACTATATATATTCTTCATACTGCAAATAAATTTTGATGGGAAAAGTATACTTTTTAGTTCAAAAGCTTAAATTCAGACTAAATCAATATGACATCTGGTTTATATAGGCTGGATATAAGTGCAATATCAGTTTGTTGATAGTATTTTATGATAAGTATTATATGATATGCATGATATATCACATTATCTCTATTGTAAAGACCAGGGTTCGCATTTCTATCATACTGCCAGTATTGACTGGAAATAAAATTGACTGGCTGGATAATTTATCTGTCATTCAATATATAGATGTACATGTATAAGATGTATCAAAAAATGTGACTGTAAACTCTGAATGGTTAAATCTATGTGTAAAAACTGCACTCAAAACTGCAAACTTTGTTTGGGATCCCTGCTAATAACATACCCAATCATAATGTTGTATATCATTATGTACATTGACCTTATGTTATTAAAATAATTCAATTTATATCTTACTATATTTATATCTGGGAATGAAGCAGAAAAGGCAGTAAAAACCCTGATTACCACTTAGCTTATAGAAGGCTTTTTCGTAAATTATTCTGGAGAGAGAGAAATGGGATTTAACATCCACACGACACAGCCTTGGTCATTATGGGACTAATATATGTTACAGTTGTATGAAATTGGTCTTTGAAGAATGTTACACCAACAAATTGTCATTTTGTTGTAGTACAGAATATGGCACATATGGCTATACTTATACAAACTAAAAAAAATACAAACTAAAAAAAAAGTTAAAACAGTTGATTCTCACTTCTGCCCTAGATTGACATTGCACATCTTCAATTTCAATAATGTACATTGAAGAGGAATTTAAAATCATAATTATTTCTCATGCATTTCTGATTAAATGTTTCACACAAGCATGTTTTAATAATTATTTTTTTTAAGTTATACATGGACATGTGACTTGAAGATAACGGTTAAAATATCATAGGCTCATTCTTTTGGAAATCCCAGTCAATGAAAAATGCTTTCCTAAAAAATGTACTTCAAATTGTTTAAAAGTTTCTGGACTTTATTAAGCATCTGCAAATCGATACTGATGGTAGAGATAGTCAATAGATTTGAATTAGACATCAATCCTTTTGAGTTCCTTTCGCCACATTAGCTTGTGTAATTTGAAACAAAGATCAAATCAGAAGACTGCTGGACTTAAGATTATTTTGGCCATCAACTTCAATAAGGAATATTCTTTTCTAGATTCATCTTTTAAGAAAATCTAGGTAACTTATTTAATTATTTCATATCAAGCTACCGGTACTTCGAAAATAACATTTGGTACTATCTCAAATCCAAAATATAAAATAAGATAGGTTGCCAGGCAACAAAACATACGCCCACAGCAGCTAAATCGTCCGAGCAGTCAACAAGGGTTGTCACATATTTATTCTTTTGTGGGTAATTAGGGGAATTTAATAGACAATTTCTATTGATAACTTTTGTCGTTCGACCGTTCACAAAGTTCAACAAAGTAAATCAAGGGCCATAACTCTAGATGTAATTGACGGATATTGCTGACATCCAATAGGCTTCTTCATTTCACTAATTTAAATGATGCATATGAATTTCATACAGATTAGGTTATAACTTTTGTCGTTCAAGCCTTCACAAAATTCAACAAAGTTAAAGAAGGGCCATAACTCTAGATGTAATTAATGGAAATTTGCTGAAACTCAATAGGCTTGTCTATTTTACTAATTGAAATGATACATATAACTTTTATACAGATCGGATAATAACTTTTGTCGTTAGAGCATTTACATGGTACAACAACGTGAAACAAGGGCCATAACTCATGGCGTAATTAATAGAAATTGCTAAAATTCAATAGGCTTCTTCGTTTCACTAATTTAAATGATGCATATCAATTTCATACAGATCGGTTGATAACTTTTGTCATTAGAGCGTTCACAAGATTCAACAAAGTAGAGTGTTCACATGAAATTGTGGACGATGGACGGGGCGACGGCAATATACGACCACATTTCCATGTGGGCGTATAAAAATGGAGTTTAGCAACCTACTTTTCTGCAACGACTAGGCTAATGAAGACAGATATACACCATGTAGTGTGCTATGAAGGAAATTTTGCCTTGACATTGGTGCTATGGCCTATTCTTTTAGCAAATTCCAACTGTTAGGGGTTCCTTTACGTGTGTACACGGAACCTTGGTTTTTTTAACAATCCATATTACTAGACAGCTTTCCTTGTCAGGCCCTCAGTCCTGCACTTTTGACAAGGGGAAATCATGCAGGGAAACCCTGAGGAAGTTTGTCTGCCAACAGCAGGAGCGAACCCGAGACCTCCAAGTTAGCCATTCACCCACTGAGCCACTGTGGCTCCGAAATCCAAAATAAACATCACAATTAAAGGGAAAACAGTTTATTGCTTGTGAAATTTAAAATGGTTACATAATATTACAAGTGAGTGACAACTAGTGGAATTATACTTCAGAAGGCACTACATATAGTGGTATATATTGTATCACATAATGCACAAATCTGCATAGGGAATAATAAAATTTTAGGTCAACATAAATACTCCCACTTCAGCTTTAAGATTCATCTACTGAAATCAGATCCCAAAATAATAATTACAATACAAATGTAATAATACTTGTGAAATTTAATTGCAACATGCAAAAATAATGGCTAAATAAATGATAAAACTTTTTTTAACATGAATAAATTAGAGGAGCTAAAGTAAATTAATAATTTGTGTCAGATGTGTAATTTATTTTAGTCTTGCCATATCATGACCCTTTCTCAATAAATGATAAAACTTTTTTTTAACATGAATAATTTAGACAAAGTTTTGTGATACAGAGACTAGTCGAGGAGCTAACATAAATTAATAATGTGTGTCAGATGTGTAATTTATTTTAGTCTTGCCATACCATGACCCTTTCTAATCTCATTAATATTCAGTGAGGCAAAATATTAAAATTTAATTGCATGTGCAACTGCTAAATGCATTATGTAGAAAAATATAAGAAATCAAAGATTACAAATGTCTATTAACATAAATAATAATGTAATTGATTAAATCAAGTCCAAACAGTGCCCACAAGTTTTTGGATAAGCTATAAGTATAATAATGTACTAAATTTATTTGCTAGAATTATATGCATTCATCTTTAAATAAATGTCATAATGTAAATGCTTGCATACATATCGTGCATGTGGCAAGTAAATGCATAGACTGGATAAAGAATTTTATGCTAATAATATATGAATGGTTCTCGCATTAAGAGAAAAACAAAATATTCTAAAAATTATTTATAGTATTACCCTAGATCTTATAATACATAATTATTATATTATAAGGTCCATGGTATTACGCTTGGATCAAATTTGAATATGTTTCAAAACATAGTACAACTGATACATAAACAGGCAAAAATCAACTCATATTGGTTCACAAATTCAATAAATGTCTATAATGAAGGCAATAATTCTTTAGGTCAAGATTACCTTTTGAATTCGTGAATTACTTTCATTTTTATTGAAAGATCATGTTTGAAAAATTAGTCTTGACAGATCTAGATTTGACAGCAAAAATGGAATGTAGGTTGAAAAAGAACACATGTTAATATCTGAGACAATACAACATATGTGTGGAATATACTTGGCTAAAACAGATAATTTATATAAAATGTCCATTTAATTTACGGGTATGTATTGTATTCTTGCGTACAAATTGAAAGCCAAAATGAGCAGAGATAACCCAAACAGCTTGTCTTGAAGAGTTTCAGTACCTTCAGAATACCGAGTATCTTAATGGAATATTGAATATCTGTGATTTCACATCTAAAAATGAATTCTACGAGTATATAGATTTGAAAAAAATAAATAATATTGTCTGAGACAGGTGTGACTAAAGGAAGTGTACAAAGCCTGATTGTCCAGGCTAAAACAAAGTCCTCATCTATTTGCATTTTTTAAATTTTTTCACATACTAAACTTTTTAACAGTCTGCCTGTCAACAGGTTACACACTAAAACCACTTTTTTTTAATATACATATTTACATGCTATATTCTCCAATTTTCTACAATCTTGGCAAAATGTACAAAACCAGGTATTTTCATTGCAATAGACAATCCATGGACATGAATAGGTAGCTAATGAAGATTTTGAAAACTGCTACCTTTGTAACCAAAACCCAAATTAAAGCACTAATTATTTACAAAATGGCACTCTAAAAATAATTATTAAATATGTCCAGCAATCTCCAATCAAAAATATTTTCTCTAAATCGAAATGGAGATATTAACAAATCACAATCAATTGATCACAGAGATTGTAACTTACAACTTGTAAGTTCTTAAATATGATTGACACAAACTATGGCAGAAGTTTTTTTACGTGTGTAGATTAAAATTACTTCTAATCACAAGTAAATTTCATTATGAATGAGAGCTGATGGAATTTAAAAACAATAGATGGAAAAAAAATTGCTAACAAGTAAGACTAATCGACTTCTGTCATGGTTTGAAGTGAAAACTGTTTTTAATATTATGGAATGGCTTGGCTTGTTTCTGCTTCCTCCATCTTTTCTTCTGTTGTCTTGCTACCACTGAATTTATCTTCAAAAACAACAGTTTCACAAGGCTGCTCTTCTATAACATCTTCCCCATTCTAAAGCCAAAAAGATTGATATTATAGTATACCTACACTAGTAAACAATAATGACAAGCCAACAGTGAGGCTGATGTCCCCCGCCGAAATTGCAAAATAAATAGATGACACATATTAATTAATCGCACATTTATTTTTTTCACTAAGTTTCATCACTCTCTATCAGATAGAATCAAGATTATCTTGTCCCAAACCATCGACAAATGAAATCGATTAGCTCTGCTTAGCTTCAGCTCGAAATGTTAATTATTGAACTCAGTCAAGACATTCACCTAATGAACATCTACATATACATCAAGTTTAAACATTCACCTAATAGACACCTATGCCAAGTTTGAACATTCTACCTCAATTAGAGGGAGAGTTATTGTGTTCCAAAGTTTCTACCAATCAAATTGCTTATCACTCTGCTTACCCTCAGCAAAAAATGTTCATTATCGAACTTAGTTAAGGTATTCATATAATAAATCTATACACCAAGTTTCATCAATCTCACTTAATTAGAACTAAAGTTATCGTGTCCCAAAGCATCAACCAATCAAATTGCTTATCTCTGCTTACCCAAAGCGGAAAATGCTCATCTTCGAACTCCATCAAGGCATTGACCTAATCAACACATACACCAAGTTTGAACATTCTAGCTCAATTAGGAAGAGAGTTATCGTGCCCCAAAGTATCAACCAATCAAATTGCTTATCTCTGCTTACCCTAAGCGGAAAATGCTCATCTTCGAACTCCATCAAGGCATTGACCTAATAAACACATACACCAAGTTTGAACATTCTAGCTCAATTAAAAGTTATCGTGTCCCAAAGCATCAACCAATCAAATTGCTTATCTCTGCTTACCCTAAGCGGAAAATGCTCATCTTCGAACTCCATCAAGGCATTGACCTAATCAACACATACACCAAGTTTGAACATTCTAGCCCAATTAGGAAGAGAGTTATCGTGTCCCAAAGCATCAACCAATCAAATTGCTTATCTCTGCTTACCCTAAGCGGAAAATGCTCATCTTCGAACTCCATCAAGGCATTGACCTAATAAACACATACACCAAGTTTGAACATTCTAGCTCAATTAGGAAGAGAGTTATTGTGTCCCAAAAAGTGTGACGGACAGACAGACGGACGGACAGACAGACGGACCGACAGACGGACAGACAGACAGACAGACAGACAGACAGACGGACGAACCCATTTTAATAGTCCCCTGCTTTCTTCGAAAGGCGGGGGACAAAAATGTAAAAGTGTGAATTAATTTAAAATATATAAAATTAATTGATCACCCCAGGATATAGTTTCCTGAAACATTTTTAGGTGAGTAGTACCCAGCAACTTGAAAAATTATGTTTTGATCAATTTTGTTAAGGAAGGATTTAGTCACAACAACCACAACACTGACCTGATCTGGCTTTCAATGATTAGAGAGCTATTCAATACATTTCGAACAGATCACAACATAATTAGATTTTTTAAAATAATCCCACTGGTCACAAAATTAAAGCCTTACATAGATATTGGCATATGAAATAGTCTTCACAAGAAATAAGGCAAGGACTTGAACACTGTAGAACACTAACAGATAGTACCCTCTTTACTCATTGCTGAATGTGGGGAAAAGAGAGAGAGAGATGTGGTTCAACTCCACTCAACACAAACTATATCATTTCGGGAATAACATATGGTTCAATTGTAATTCCATTGCACATTGGGGTCTTTAGCAGTGGAAGGAAACCTGAGGACCCACTCACAGAAAACCTATTCGGTTGGACAGGCGACCCTACTCCTTGTCAAGTTCGTGGGGAATCGAAATCACGCCACTTCACACAATGACAGACCTTGTGATTTCACACCCACTCAAGGAATTAAACTACACTAATACATGTATATAAATATTTACTCATGGTGTAAGGGAGACAATCTGTGAAATTAGTAAACAAAACTATTAGCGAACTTGTGGGAGAATAAACAATTATCAATGTATGTTTTTAAAAACTAAATATCAGTGATGATACAAATAGATATAACACTCATACTTCATGCATCTGGTAAGAAAATCAACATAGATTGAAAATTTTAACAACACCTAACATGCACAGTATACCCTTACCTTCCTATTGAAAGTCTTAAGAAATGCCTGCAGAAATGATAGAAGATCAATTTTAAACACTTTTTAGATATTCAAAAGTTTACTAGTTCAGTTTATAATTGATAGGAATAAAAAGCTACTTAAAGAGGCAAAAAGCCATATGATTACCTTATTTACATCAGACATATTCAAATATAATGTCCATGACCGGAGGTGGAATTAATTCATCTGATTAATTTTTGAACCAGTATGTTTTGGCAAGAGCAATTGATATAACATGGTCTTAAAGATGCATTCCCATGAAAGTATTTATAGGGTAGTTATTTCAAATAAAAGTATGGCATATTTGGTATTTATGGAAAGAAAAGACGCTCAATCTAACTTGAAAAATACTGGATTCCCTGAAAAACACCCATAGGGTTCCACAGGACAAAATTAAGAGAGTGTCACTAACTGGCAGTACATGTCTCCTTAAGTAACGCAAGGCTAACGGTTGTAAGAACATTGAGATACTTTAATGCCCAGTTGAAAAAGAAGTTGGCAGAGGATATTACCAGAATTTACTTAGGTTTCAATATTTATTGTAAATGGACAGTGAATAATGATAAATACAAGCTTTAACTGGATTTTCCCTCAATCAAGTCACGTGACAAACAAGGCTCTTAAAATAGATTCTTGAGGCATGAGGTAGTTTTATCTTAGGATTAAAATGTTTTATGACAGATATGAAGCAATTCTTTGATAAATAAAATAGTTTGAATATGTTTTTAGTCTATATTGTATTGTATGCAGGTATGCCACACGGATTGTATGCAGGAATGCATCTTTAAAAATTATATTTGACTTTTCGTCTGGCTTATTCTCTCTTTACCAAATGAGCAAAGAATGAAATGAAGACTAATTTTAATAAATAAACCTTACCTATAATTTACTACCATCATCTAAATGACAAGTGAACAGTACTCTACAAAGAGAAATAATTTTATGTTCTCACCTCAAAATGGTTACCAATCAGATGTTGCATTTCATGTCGTAGAAGTTTATCTGAGGCAGCAAACTCTCTATCACAGTATTGACAGATATAGGTATTGGAGGAGTTGGTAGTACCATTTCCTGTCTTAGGTTTGGGTGGTGGAGGAGGTCCCATAATTTCTTTAGGAATCGTTGAGCCATTTACCTCATTATTTTCTCCATCAACTTCCATTTTGTCATCCTGTGTTTCCTTGGTATCTTCTATTTTTTCTGTAATCAATGTCTTTTCTTGGTCTTTCTTTGTTATATTGTTTAGTCGACCAGTTTGGCATTTGTGTGCCAATTCCACAGCTTCACTTATATCTTGATCCTTCATCTCCTTTGCTCGTCTTGCTTGACCATTTTGGACGAGCCAATCAGAAAGTTCTGGTAGTGGGCAGAAATGAACCTTGATATGTTGTGTCAGAAAGTTCTGTTTAGGTACACTATAATCACAGTAGGGACAAGTTAGTTCACTGCGGATCATGTGGAATTTCAAGTGGGTCAATAAATGATCCCTGCGGACATTTGCATAAGGACATCTATCACAGCGGTAAAGTTTCTTAGGCTCAAGATCTTCCATATTTTCATATAGATCTAAATGATCATGTATGACACTGATTGTGACTGGTTCTCTGGTGTCAATTGGTGGTAAAGCAGATGCTAATGCCACATCTGCTGGTACTTCTGTTAAATGTTGGAGGTTTGTCAGTGATTGGGCTGCTAAAAGATTTTGATTTGGCATCATATGGATCTTCCTATGCTGTAGGAGCAGGTTGTTAGAAGGAACACTGTAATCACAGAATTCACAAGTATGCCTTTGCTTACTTCCATGTAATTCACAATGACGTTGAAACTGCAATCTTTTAGCTGTTGCATAAGGACATTTTTCACAGCAGAATTTCTTAAATCTGGCAATCTCAAGTAATGTATCTACTTTATGGACATTTTCTATTTCAGCTGTATCTGAACTCCTGTCATCTTCATCATCAAATTTGAGGCCTTCCTGTTTCTCTAGCTCAGAGATGGTGTTATCCTGATAATCAGGGCAGTAATTGGGTTGATGAACCTTTAAATGGTGAGAGAGGAGGCCTTTGGCCCCAACATAGTAATCACAATGTGGACATTTTATCAATGGATGTTCACTTGATCTGTAACCATGCATCATTTCATGAAGGCGGAGGTTCCTTGTACGTACATTGAAGTAAGGACACTTCTTGCACCTGTGCAGTTTTCTGTAAACACCACTTTTTAAAATGTATCCTGGTCGAGATCCAACTCCACATCTTGATGCTATCTTCATTGGTGATACAGTTGGACTTGAACTCAAACTGGCTGTTATTTTAGAGGATATTATCTTCTGCTTTATAGATGCTATTTCCACAGTATCAAAGATGACACTAGCATCTGACATCTCTGACTTGCACGGAGAACTTTGTAAAGAACTATATCCACTTAACTTCATTGCATCAGTGTGTAACTTCATGTGTTGCTTCAAGAGTCGTTTGTGGGTAACCCAGTAGTCACAAAACTCACACTTAAATTCAGCTGATGGCTTGGGTCTATGAAACTGTTTGTGATATATGAAATCATTCTTACTATTAGTTGTGTATGGACATTTCTCACAGATGTGTTTCCTTGGGAGAGAGTCATCATCAAACTGGTCAGATGTTGAAGGAAAGTTTTTCTGTGGTGATGAAGTGGGGGTCTTTTGTTCTTTATACCATCCTTGATCTTTGGAATGAATCTTCATATGCTGATGAAGCAATCTGGGAGCACAGACATAGTAAGGGCAGAATTTACACTTGTACTTGTTTCCTGGTTGTGGTTTATGATATGTCATATGGAAGTTTAATAATCCACGTTTGAATGCTTTATAAGGACATATAGAGCACATATATTGCTTGCCTTTATCAGAGGAGTTATCATTACTAGTGGAACCTTTTGGAACACACTTCACTTTCACCTTCTGCCTCTTTCGGATTTTCAATACATTTGTATAATCAGTACTGCCATGCTTTTCTCTCAGATGTCTACAGCAAAGATACTTGAAAGAAGTTTGAAAGTTACAGATCTTGCAAAGGAATATGTCTACATAAGCTTCCCTGTATGTATCTGAAGGTGTTGCTCCTAAATCCTGTTCATCCCCATCTTCCTTATTCTGGCCATATCTGATGAGAACTTTTGTACAACTTGCATAATCAGATATTTGATGAAGTTTTCGTACATGGCGGTACAGGGCACCTCTAAAATTTGTTGCAAATTCACAGATGCAGCATTTAAAAGGCTTCATGTTGTGTTTTTGCATGTGTTTAATAATATCTGAGTTACCAACACCACAAAAGGCACATTTTGGGCATCTCCATATTCTTTGTTGAGGTTTTGCTGAAGCTGGACGTTTAGTGGGCACTGCAGGGGCAGTCTCTGGAGCATCACTTTGTCCGTGTATCTTTTGATAATGGTAGCTGTATGACTCAAGTGTTTCCTTGGCTAAACCCATATCCAATAATACCACCTGTGGCTTTTCATTAGGGTGTCTCTTTCTGGAATGTCTCATTATATCAGTTCTCCAGTTAGATCTATATTCACATATAGAACACTTCAACCGTTTCAGTCTATCACCGTCCTCACTTGGTATATTAGCCAATATTAATGGTGGCTTCTTTTCAGGGCTGGCCGGATTCAAACATTCTGTGGCATAGGTTTCAGTTGCACTCTCAATTGACATGACAATAATAAATCCATTAGACCCAATATGCTTTTCTCTAAGATGCCTCTTTGAGTCCCATTTCCAGTTTGAACGATGTCCACAAATAGAGCATTTGAAAGGTTTTACATATCCATGCTTCTTTGGATCATTGTGGACGCTAGTTTGATTTCCTTGCGTTGGTGCTGACTTTGTAGTTAGCTGTTCAGGAGTTAAAGTAACATCACTTGTGTTTAAACTCTTATCCATACTAGAGTCTAAGCTAGAATCTAAACTAACATTGGCTTGTTGTTTATCTTCCACAAAGTTGGTGTCATACAAAAATGTACTTCCAGTGACCATGTATTTAATGAGTACATCTTTTCCTGGGTGCATGTATTTATAATGTTTCTTGATATCACCCTTCAACAGACACCTCTTCCCGCATTCAACACACATAAACTGTTTCATGCTTTCATCAGTTGTTGTCTTATGTGGACTCAGTGATTTTTTTATGACTTTCTCTGGTGGTACAGAAGCTGGAGATTCAGTACTGACACTAGGAATGACTTCATTAATCTTATAAACTATGACACTGCCAGTTAATCCTTCATGGATGGTCTTCAAATGTTTACTGATGCTCCAACGAAAGTTTGACCTCAATCCACAAAGTGAGCACTGATAAGGCTTCTGACCAGCTGCTATAGGACTTTTGTTGGTTATAGCAGTAGCTGGTTTGGTGCTTGGTGGCTCAACCACAGGTACTCTTGCTATAGAGCGTATGGTTGGAATCTTTAATGTAAATCTAGGTGCAGGTACTGGTGGAGATTTTGTAGGACTAGGTAAATGATGTGATCGTCTTACAGCTGGCATGGTGGCCAAATAATTACCAATTGTTTCTTTGGCTTCCTCTTCAGACAGCTTAACGACTTGCATAGTAGTTGTGGGGTGATCTTTCTTCATATGTTTCTGGATGTCCCATTTCCAGTTAGCTCTCTTGCCACAAACAGGACACATAAACTGTTTAAAGTTAAGATGAGTGGCAACATGGGCTTTCATTTTAGATGGAGCATTGGCTGTAAATTCACAATGATCACAATGAAATATACCATTGTTATTGGTAGCACCCAAAACTGTTGTATCTTTAGTGTTAGTTGTAGAGGCTACACTTTGGGTTTCCCAATCTTTTTCAACTTCAGCCTGGCTGTCTGCTTTGAAAAAGACCTCTGGTTCTGTGACTTCCTGTTTGATATTCATCGTAGCAACAGGAGAATCTTGTGCATTTCCATATCTAGATTTACCTTTTGGTACCACCAGTTCATTGCGGAATATAACATGATGGAGAATATCATCGTCTTTTGAAATTTTGTCTTCATGCTTTCTGTAAAGGTGTCTAGTGATATCTCCACGCCAATATGTCTGATACATACAGTAGTTGCACTGATAAGTTTTATCCTCAGACCCATGAACATGAGAATGGCGCTCCATTTCAGACTTCCAATTTGTTGTGTATGGACATGCTGGACAGCGATATAGTGTAGGAGAGTTCTTCTTAAGAGGCACTATGGATACCTTTTCTATATCCAGTCCTCCAGGTTCTTCATTATGATCACGTTTAATATGAACATTCAAATCTCCTGTATATTTGTATTTCTTCCAACAAATAGGACACTTATATCTCTTTTCTAAAGAATGAGCTGTCATGTGTTTTTTCATATCACTTGGATTCTTTGCATTATATGAACAATATTTACAATTTAGGGATTTCGATCCAAGCTCTGAATCTGTGGGGTTTTCCTCATCTTCAGTCACATATTCTTCGTAATCATCGTCAGACTCCATCAATGTTGGTTTATCCTGACCCTTTTCTGGGTGTTTCATTGTAATATGTCGATTCAAATCAGCTGCTGTTTTGTGAGCTGATCCACAGTCACAAGTATACAGACCATCTTCCAATGATTGTTCATTTACCTCTTCTCCGTCAACTTCCATCGACTCTTCCTCCATACCTTGAGCATGATGGCTTGTTACATGTCGAGCTAAAGCACCCGAGTTAGTTGAAGAAAAATTACAGTAGTTGCATTTAAATTCATAATCTCTGCCATGGTTTTCCATGTGACGGTCTAGATTCGGCTTGTAGTTACTGATGTAGTCACATTCTGGACAACGATAAACTTCTTTTCCACTAGCATGTTCCTTTTTATGGAGGTAAAGTTCAATTTTTCTATTAGTTTTAAAAGAACAGAGTTTGCATTTTAACTGTTTAGCATTCAAGTGCATACTTAGAACATGATTAAGAACTCTTGGTCTGCTTTTTCCTTTATATAGACAAAGTTTACATCGGTAAGCCAGAACACCTTCTGGTGGTACTAGGGGCACAACATTCTCATAAGCTTTGTTGCGAGCAGCTCTTTTCTTTGTTGCTTTAATGGCCTTTGTCTTGGTAGTTATAACTTTTGAAAAGGCACTACCATTATTGGTAAGTTTTACTTTTAATTTTGGTATAGCAGGCAACTTTTTAGTCTTCTTTACGATTTTTACAGATGGTTTTGAATCATTTGCTTTCACAGAAAAGCCTCCCACCCCAGGTTTGTGTGCCATGGCTTCATGGCGCTGTAGCTTATGTTTGTATTGAGAGGCATATTCACACAGATTGCATGGATATATGGTAAAACTTTCATCATGATTGTCTCTTCGATGATTCAAGAACACCCTGGCTTTAGTGGTTGTGAACTTGCACTCTGAACAGTTATAATTTCGACTGATTCTTGGTGAAGGTAAACTAGAAGTCTCTTGCAGATCCTCTTGATTTGATGCTGCATCAAAGGTTGAGCTACTGTCTTTGGTGCTCCCATTTTCTTCCTCTTCAATATCCTCTTTATCAACATTGTCATTATTTATAGTTGTTTCACAAATAGACTCCCATTCAGAATCAACAGTACTGTCTAGGGATTTTGGAGTACTATCTAAGGATGTGGGAGTACCTTTTAATGAAGTAGCAGCATTGTCTAAGGTTTGTGTGGTGCTTGTGTCAGTTGCCATACCCTTACACTGAGCTCTATGAGATTTGAAAATTCTTTTGTTGGTAGTTGTAAAGAAACATAAAGGGCACTTTTTCATAGTATTGACAAGCTTCTTTCCCATTTTGATAACATCCACCAAGTACTGACATCAAAACCAATATATTAACTTTATCAACTGAAAAATATTAAATAAGGAAGAGTCAGTAAGATTTTTTCCAAACTGTTATTGTACGATAAGTTAGTATTAATATCTCACATAGAAGACCACACCAATTTAATTTTCAGCTCCTCAGGGTCTTGATAAACAGCCACTTAAAGGAGCTAAATCGTTAATATTTGGGACCTACAAATTGACACAAATGGGTCGCAACGCATATAATAATGTAATATGAATGTATATAAACTGAGTTACATTCAATCATTTCTGTTTTTACTGTAATTTCTAATCAGTTATGTTCGGCGAAATGCACCAAAGTATCAATTAAATGACAATCTTTACACTACCGTTTACCGTTTAGTTTGACATCGGTTGTCTAGTTTATGAAACTAAATGGTCATAAACTGGATGACCAATATCAAAACTAAACTAAATGGTCATAAACTAGATGACCGATGTCAAAACTAAATGGTGTTTCTTAAACTAAAGGGTAGCACAAACTGGGCGTTATTTGATGAATCTTGATGGTACAAATGTATTTAATACTTTCTGCATGGCAATCTATTAACTGAATATGTGTATTAGATTATAGATGGTAAGCTCAGTTTCTTTCCTTTTTTCATCAAATCTGAATGATACCCGGTCCCTAGTGTTAGCGTCTGGTTATTCCAGTCTACACCGATGGTATTGATTGCGCATGCTCTCCAGATAAGAATATAGCGTCACCATTTGACATGACTTGTGGAATATGTCTAGTCTCGTTCTTTGAGTCCCTTGTTCCAAATGGTGCTGAAACGCATTATGGTACACGATTCGTAACCAATGGTAAAATGTTTATTTTGTCTTGAATATTGTATATCAGAAGCCCATCTTTTCCCTGTAAGATCACAAGACCAATGTTGATTTGAACTGACAAATAATTTGTGTTTTCAATGTCGAAGATTTCTGATGATTCTGAGTTAGAGACTTAGCTACTTTAAGTCTTATAAACAATATTTTATTTAATATTTTAAATTTCAAAAAAGAAATTAGGTTGCCAGAAAACAAAACATATGCTCACAGCAGCTAAATCATCAGAGCAGTCCACAAGGGTAGCCTCATATTTTTTTGTTTTGTAGGTAAAGACACTAAAAGCTGATTAAGAGTAACAACCGATTAAGTAATTATCAGAAGTAATTAAAATTTGATTGGCTTCTAGCTCATTAAGATGCAAACATGTATTACACAAAACATGTACCGGTAACGAAGATAAACTTAGCTGTTTGTGTTATCGGATATCATTGAAAATTAATAGGTTTCATCATATAAACACTGTGGTATTAATCTTAAGTCAATTGGATGATAATTTTAGCCTCTAGACCAGGGGTGTCAAATTCATATTGATTCAAGGACCACATAGGGTGACCACTCATCCCGAATTTCGCGGAACAGTCCTGCAAAATGCTTCCAAGTTCCGCGTCCCGAAAACCAGCTAAAATGTCCTGCAATTGCTCACATGCAAGATTTCTATACAGTAATATGTGTGGATGATAGTCTATTTCAGTATTACATTACCATTTTTCAAAGATTCATACAAGTATTTTTATACATAAACTTAATCTACAACTTCTAATTCTGTTTCTCAAACATATTCTGCACATGCAACACGATTCGTAAGTTTATGTGTGTGTTATAGCACTCTTACACTTTAAGTTTTATGTGTATATTACTGTAAAGGAAAATTCCTTCTTAAATATTTACATGTAAACTTACGACTTACGTGTAGTTAGAGAAACAGACTTGATTTAGGAATGACATATCTTCTGGTCTCTTAAACGTTGGCGAGAAATGGATGAAAATATGTACCTTATAATATTAAATCCATGATGGAAGTGATTAATTCTTCAATTAATGTGTCGTCCGCTATACCAGCAAATTTAATCAAATTATAGTTTACTTTGTTCTTTCCATGCCAGTTTTAGTTACATAATTTTCAATGTCTGTTGTCTTTGCTTCATCATAAATCATAAACTCATTAAACTATCTTGAGTTGTTATGAATTCAGGAGAAAATCACAAGTTTATCAATACAAAATCAGAGTATTTCAGTAACATATTTCTTGTCTCAGATTGCTGGGTATGACGTTTCTGGTGCTCAGGGAGAGTGGTTTTGCTGCCCACGGATCCGCAGAAAATCGGCATAATTTACATTTTTCTAAAAATGTCCCACAATATGATCAAGCAAAGGTGGTCACCCTAGGGCAACATGAAATAAAATTTTACATCAAGTGGGCCGGAGATATACAAAAATCCTAAAAACAAAGCCAAACGTCCTTTAACTTGACTGAATTCTAAAAACAAAGCTAAACATCCTTGACACGGTAATTTTTTAGACTGGTTTCCAATTTGCTAAAATATAATATTGAACACAACGTTCTCTTGTATTACATACAACCTGGATATCTATGACATACAGTACTACAAATCAGAGTTTTACTGAAACTGGAAAACAATAATAAATTATTTCTAAGAATTATCAACATGTCAGTTTGTTGAAATTTGTTTCACAAGCTAGGCTGCATGTTTGACACACCTGCTTTAGACTGTCCACAAAATTACTAAAAAGTGATCAAGGGCCATAAGTCTGGCATTAATTATCAAAATTTATGAAATCAATAGGTTTCTTCATGTCATTAAATCAATCGGTTGATAACTTTAGCATCTGTCTACCAGCAGCTTTGTGAAGGGGAATGAAATGAAGTAGTAATGAAATGAAATGAAATGGGGTTTAACGTCCTACTGTTTTGCTCCGAACTGGGTTAATGAAGATGGGCATACGCCATACAGTGTGCTATGAGGGAAATTTTGCCCGGACAGCGGCATTACGGCCTACTCTTATATCAAATTACAACTGTCAAGGGATCTTTTACGTGCACGCCAATGTGTACACGGGACCTCAGTATTTCATCTCATCCGAATGTCTAGACAGCTGTCCTTGTCAGGTCCTGATAAGGGGGAAACCATGCCCAGAAATCCTACAGAACTTTCTTAGTCAACACCAGGATTGACCGTTGGACCTGTCGGTTAGTGAGCTAGCATCTTACTCACTGAGCCACCACGGCTCCACATCATAAAGATGTGCCCTGTTGAATATCTAAAAATGTTGATAAAAATTTTGGGAATTGTGCCCTAATGCAAAGTTGATGGCCTATTGTTCAGTTTATATTAACTTATCAACTTTCAGTGAAACAAATTTATTACAAATTATGTTGATGAATAAGTATCAATGTGTATATCGTAATAATGTTACAAAAGTCCGCCACTGATCTATAGTGCTGTTGTTGACATACATTTACGAAGGTATAATTTATTAATTCATCAGCATTCAATGCCAGCACACAGGCAATACCTAATCTACATGTATATACCAGATTCAAACAAGCCAACAGTGAGGCTGATTTCCCCGCCGAAATCCCAAAATAAATAGATGACCCATATTAATTAATCGCACATTTACTTTTTTCAAAAGTATCAAGCAATCAAACTGATTATCAACTATACACTAAATTTCATCACTCTATATCAGATAGAATCAAATTTATCTTGTCCCAAAGCATCGACCAATGAAATTTCTTAGCTCTGCTTAGCAGAAAATGTTAATCACTTGAACTCAGTCAAGACATTCACCTAATGAACATCTACATCAAGTTTAAACATTCTACCTTAATTAAAAGCAGAGTTGTTATGTTCCAAAGTCTTGACCAATCAAATTGCTTATCGCTCCTTAGCCTAAGCAGAAAATTCTCATCATCGAAGTTAGTCAAGGCAATGATATAATGAATATATTCAGAGTATTGCATGTAGACCCAAAGTTGTCGTGTTCCAAAGCCTCAACCAATCAAATTGCTCATCTCTCTGCTTAGCCTTAGTTGAAAATGTCCATGATTGAACATTGTCAAGGCATTCACCCAATAAACACCAACACCAAGTTTGAACAATATACCTCAATTAGGAGAGTTATTGTGTTTGAGAATCTCAACCAATTAGACTGAAGTATCTACTTAGCCTAAGCAGAAAATGCTCATCATCGAACTTAGTCAAGTTATTGATGTAATGAAACTATACACAAAGTCTCACCACTCTCCCACAATTAGAATCAAAGTCATCGAGCTCTAAGGTCTCGACCAATCAAATTGCTTATTGCTTTCTTCAAATGGCAAGGGACACATAGGTCGATATTGCTGTTTGAAGGTGAATGGTTCAAAATGGAATGAAATTATGGGCTGTACATCCAGGCATACCAGGCATACCTTCCCAAAATTAAAATTTGTGACCGGCCGCAGCTAAATGAGTTGGAATGCGCGAGAATCAATAATGAGATAAAGACAAAATAAGTGAAAATATTGATTTTGAACAAAATTGAGATTTTCACAAAAATGAGTCTATAAATATACTATCTATCGACACAGAAGATCAAAATAGCAATAAAACATTTTAAAACACCTGTATTTGAACGTTTTGTACGAGTACCGTATTCTTAAATCTGTCCTATTTCTTAAAAATCTCTGCGAAATTAGTTATTTTTCTTCGCTCGCAGCGGGACGACCGGTCATTCCTCTTGCATAACAATTGGCATCGTTGTAAAGCGGAGCATCTCTAGTTTATAAATATGATCAAAATATTGTCGATGAATTGATTTTGAACGGATACAATCTAGTTTTAAAACCCTCCAAAAATATAAATAAACTTCGCCTGTTGCCATGCTGTCCACACAACTCCTTTGCGGATTGGCCCAGACACCGCGTGCAAGACATTATCGATAAATATTTGGTTTTGGCGATAATGTTTTTGGGTACCTACATGCGATTCACTCTGATAAGTGTTAATCGAAACCATGTGGCTGATTATGTAAATTAATCGACAAGCGGGCGTGTGTCATTGAGTAATACTATTACTAATCAACTGTCACGGGTCAATGATAAAGCCGTCAACAACTCATTATTTACTCCGAATAATTAATCCAAGTGGTGATTATTTGAT